GTGGGGTAGAGGAGCAATGCGTAGGCCATGTCCCCAGTGGAGAACCAGCCAAGGGCCTTGGCAGGGCCCAAGATATCACATCAAGCAAAGGCTGCCAGGCAAGAAAGTGTCCCCATGCGCGAGTTAATGAGTGTCAGTTCAAACCTGGGCAAGGCTGGCTGTGGCGCTGGGATGCCCACACACATATCCTGCACAGGGTAACATGCTCTCACTCAAGGCAGGGAGATAACCGGGAACCCTTCTCCATCACTACACAAACCTGCATGGACCTCCAGTGTAGTTGTGAAATCGCATGGCCCTGTGCTGTCACATCTCTCAGTACCAGCCTGGCTGGGACCTGTACATCAACATGGTGCCCAGGACCCCAGCTGTGTCTGTCCCTGCTCTCCTCTAGGTACCCTTGCAGACAGCATGCTCAGAGGAGGAAGTGAGCTTGGAGTGGCTGCCTGCAGCTGGGCCAGTGCAGGCTGGGAGCCAGACTGAGGGCATCTCCTTCCCAGCCCTGTCCCCTTCCCACTGAGCCACTCTGCCTTGCTTTTAATTAAATTAGGAGAGCATTTAATCCACCACCCTCCCCCCCCCCCCCCCCCCCCCGTGCATTTCAGAGATGGGTTTGAGCCTGGCTTGGGCTGCGTGGTGCTCTGACAGGGATGCTGTGACTCATGCAGACCTCCACAGCTCTGCGGGGAGGACTCCCTGGTCATCTGTACAGACAGAGGTAGGTGGGGCTCCACAGAAGACAGGACACTGGGGTCTCATCTACCCCCATTGCCCCGGGCCTGACTGGGCCCCATACGGCCTTTTATTTGTCCCCCTCTTCCCCTCACCCCATCCCAGGTTCTACAATGGACCTGGTACAGCCTCTCTGTCCTCTCAAGCAAGCAGCACAGGGGCACTGAGGCCACAGCAGGCCCTGGGTGTCCCTTCAATGTCCCAGGCAAAGATCTGGTCCTCTGTTGTATGGAGTAAGTTGTGGGCTAGCCTTGTGACATTTGCCCCCAGCTCCAGAAAGGTACAGGCTGGCCCCAAGCTCACTGACAAATGCAGAATTTAGGAGACATTAGTAGAGATGTGGATGAAAGCCAGGCCACAGCGGCCTGGCTGGAAAAGAGAAACTTGAACGTCTTGGCGTGAGATTCTGCAGGGTCCAAGAGAAAGTTGAAGACATGGAAATTCTAATTAACACACACAGGGCTGGTTTTGCTCAAGGATTTTCGAAGCTGTCATGTTGCAAGAGGCCAGGCAAGCACACGCTCGATGGAGGTGCTCACGGTCACCTGGCAAGGCTTCTGCAGCACCCTGAGTGATTCTTGCCTTGCTGTCCCTTGCTGTGACCCCTTCTGCCCAGCCCCAGGGCCCCAGGCCTCCTCTACACCCATCTAGTGGACAGTGTGCTTCTGACCTACCCCACCCCCACCCCTTGCCCTGAGACCGTCAAGATCTAGTGAAGGCGTGTTGGGGTCTGCCAGGCTAAGATGGCTTACGAGAAAAAGACAGGGGAGGCAGGGATCAACTCTTAGGGAAGAATCTTTCTGGGAAACCACGTATCTGGGCTGAGCAGATCTAGAGGCCTCTGGGGCCATCCATTTTGGTGGATGGGGTGGATGTGTGGCTACGCAGCTGGGGTGTGGATGGAGAAGGATTTTACAAAGGTGGCTATGGGTGAAGTCCACCGAGGTCACATGACCTGAGTGCAGCATGGAGATTTTCTGGGTGCCCTGTCCTGGCACCCATGGGAGACATCCACAATCCTTGCTTCCCTTCCGGCAAGGCCAAGAAGATAAGCTCTATATCGGGGTGGGTGTGGCCATCCAGTACAACTACTTTTTGGGGTGCCTGAGAGGGAAAGGCCCAGAGGGCAGTGGGTCCCCTGTTCCCACAGCCACAGGTTGAGGACCCTGACTGGCAGGGACGTAAGAGCCTTGGGCTTTCCCCAAGAAGGGGAGACAGGCGACTGGGAAGATGTGTGTAATTCCGGCAGCCCCAGATGAGTAACATGGGCGTTCCCTGGGGATCACCACAGCAAGGCATTGGGTCACACACTGTGCTCATGGAAGTTGTTCCTAAGGGGGCAGAAGACAGCAGGTGGAGTGGATCTTGGAACCCCATGTTGGTGGTGGTTGGGGTGCAGGGTGCCCCTTCCCTCATGGAGGTACCTCACATGTGTTCCCACTTTTCTTGAGGCAAAGTGAGGCTTAGAGTGGAGGGCATTGGCTCAGAGCTTAAGGCTGAGGGTGCCCCTCCAATCCTGGCAGAACTAGGCAGATAGGTGTGGGCAAGGTCACCTTGTCTCTAGCTCCCCATGCGTAGCCCCAACCCACCCACAACTCCCTACCTTTCATACAGTTCTGCTTAAGGCTGGCCTCCTTGCCCCCTCCCCAGAAAAAAAAGCAATACCAGTGGCCAACAGGCCCCTTCAGTGAAGGAGGAGCTTTGCCCAGCCCCAGGGACCTTCTTGTAATCAAGGCTGCAGTGACCTCACCTCCCTGGGGCCCTGCGGGCGGGGAGAGCTTGCGATGGAAACAAAATGTGTCTTTATTTATGCTTTTAATTTGAATTCTGGAACTGGCCCAACATGGTAATACATTTAACATCAGTGAAATGCTGAAGAAAAATGGATCTGTTTTTCTACCACCAGCCTCCCTCCCCCACCCCACCCCTGCGGCACCCCTGTGCGCATCCCTGTCCTTTGCGCACAAGCACCAGGGCATAGGCCTCTTCCTAGCTTGGGCCCCCCAGGGCCAGCTGCCCTCAGGAGCCATACCACATCCTTGATTCGCCGGAGCCTAGCTTAATTACAGACATCAATCACTATGCAGGCTTTAGCCGGAGACAAAGGAATGTAGCCTCAGTGTGGGCACGGGGACCAGCTGACCATTGAGAACCCATATAAATGTGTCCACTGTGGCTTAAGATGAGAGATGGTGGGTCTTGGCCAGGCCAGTGACCCCGGGGGCATTTGTAACCCAGCGCTTCACAGTGTTACTGTCTTGCCCTCTGCCAGGACTTCCTGGAGGGCTGGCACCTGACTTTGGAGGACACTGGTGCCAGATTCCTTGATGCCTCACCCATGATCCTGCTCTGCCTGGATCACAGCCTTCAGTTGAACTTCGTCTTCACTCAGCTCCTTCCCGCCTTTGAGGGCTGGCTCATATCCAGTAGTTGTTGGGGAGGGGCTTGCTCTGAAAGGGCCTTGGCAGGTTCCAGGGTGGGGACCTGAACTCCATAACACTGGAGTCTTGGCTCTGCCTGTGCCCAGCTAGCCTCAGGGGTCCAGCAGTCACCATCTACCCTAAGAGGACCCAAGAGGGCCAGGTTGAGCAGGGCTCCAGCAGCTGACTGGTGACCAGCAGGGCCACGCTCGTAGAGAGCCTGTGCAGTCAGGTTTTCTCTGGTCTGGGGGCGTGGGAAGGGCAGGGGGGAGGGGGGGAGACACAAGAAATTTCCTGGTGTCCTGGACCACACAAGTCTGTGTGGACCTGGTGTCGCCCTGGGATAGATGGTAGATCTGGCATCAAGGGGTTTGAGGGATGCCGGTGCCAGCATAGCCACCTCTTCCCGAAAGGGGGCTTACCGAAGTCAGCGATGAGCCTACTCTCTGGGGCTTCCTCACAGGGCCCTCAATGTCCATAAGCTGGCACAACCTGACTTTCCAGTAGGACAGATGGGGTACAATGGCCTTATCTTTCTCAGGGTGCTACTTCATATGGAGGCCCAGCCAGGGCCCTGGAGACAAAGGGGAAATGGACTGCCACAAGACCTGAGAGGACTGAAGGCTATGTGACCCCTTGAGGCTGGGCAGCTCCTGGGGTCCATCATCGTTAGCTGTCCTCACGCCAGAGTGGGCACTGCCATCCATCCTGCATACAATACTGGCCATGGATCTGTGTGTTTCGCTCTGTCAGGTCCATGCCCGGGCTCTGACGTAGGCCGTAACCTAGTGTAAGCTACTACTGTGTGCCGGGCCCCTGCGCCTCTGTGGCCTGCCCGCCCGCCCCTCAGCGCACACCCCTGCCAGGAAGATTCTTGATGCTATAGCCCGTCCTTCCTCAGACGGTCTGTTACCCTCTCCTGGTCCTCCAATGACACAGACAGCCCCCTAGTGCTGTGAGTGCCCGGTTCCCAGCCACCTGCCAGGCCACACTTGCACCTGGGTCCCTGCACAGGTCCTGGTTCTCTCCATGACCATGCTGCATGTGGTGCAGGCCTCGAGGGGCCCTTCAGAACAATGGATAGAGAAGCAAAGAGTCCCAGCAAGTGGCCCCGTGGATGTCATACTCGTTGACACACTTCTCCAGTGTCTGGACTGATCCAGTGTGCCCCGCTGACCCCGTGACCCTGCAGCTGCCGGCACCGGGAGCCTCTTTTAGGAACACTGAGTCACACATCGTGGAGGGATCACACAGGGCTGGGCATAGATTGGCCTGGCGGGGCTGTGATGGCGGGGGAGGCCGGGCATGTGTCCCAGGCCAGCTGTGCCTTGGGGAAAGGCCAACTGGAAGGCGTGGAAAATCAGCCATTTCCTCCACCTGAAGGAGCCCTGAGGACAGTGGCGGCAACTGGCAGACAGCACCCGGCATCTGCCCCGGGCCTTTGGCCAGGGCTCCACGGGGAAATGCTCAAAAACAAAGTCGACTTTTTTTTTTTGGGGGGGGGGGGGGTGGGGGGAGAGTGATGGAGGAGGGAGTTAGGAGAGAGAAAAACAATCTTCTCAGACACTCGAAGCATGGAAACAAGTGGAAAATGATCAGTCTGGTTTTCCATAAGTCCAAACAAGAGGATCATGTTCCCCGCCTTGGCGGGAAAGGCCCCTGCTCACCTCCCCAGCCCAGTGCCTGGGCCCTGGGCCCTCAGCTATTAGAGAGTAGCCACAGGACCCTAAGAGTAGGCAGGGAGGCCTGGGCACCGTGGAGTATACAGCACCTGTGTGCAAGCACACGCCTTCAGTGCCCAGGCAGCACCTCTCAGCCTCATCCCCCGGCCCAGCCCCGGGTACTCACTGTGACACATGGGTGATGGGCGCTAGCAGGGTCTCCCCTTCCAGATCCAGGTCCTCAGCAAAACTGTTGGTTCTCAGGAAGTGGGCTGGGCTGACTTCCAGCAGTGTGGGGCTCTTCTTCACTGTGGAGAAGCACATTGTGGGCAGCACATTAGTGGAAGGACAGCTCATCCAGCCCCACTTGCCATGGGGGCCACCACTGGACACACGTCAGTCATCATGTCAACCCCAGTCTACCACTGCTGTGGTATATAGCCATGTGTTCCCAGGACCAGGGGGAGGTGGAACTCGGTTCCTACAATCTGGGTGCTAGGCTGGTCCCCAAGTGCCTGAGGCTCAATGTCCAGGAATGACCAGTAAAGACCAGAGTGTCCTGTGGTCGTGGCCTGCGGCTGGGCTCGAGAGACCAGGAGTTGCTCCACTTGAGGTTGTGGGCCACTCTCTAGCCAGACCCCTAAGAAGTGATGGCCCAGGCCTAACTTCCCACTGCCGTGCGGTCAGCATTCACACACAGACAGCAATGGCCAGGGAGCAAAGGGGTCCCACATTTTGCTCTTCCCTCCAGCCATAATGCCATACCAACTACCTGCATCCTGCGAGGCACAATCAACCTCTCTTTCACTGGCTTCCTGCTTAGATCCCTGAGCCCGCGAGCAACATGGCACAGGAGCCCAGGGATAATCCAGATCCATCTTCACTCTGCTTACTCTCAAATTCAGTGTTTGCTCTCAACTTAATTTTCTTCATTTAAAGTGCTTCTTGCAAAAGAATTGAGTACCTAAGAAGTGGAATCATGCCAAAATTCACAATGGCCCCATTCCACTGTCATCTCAATACTGTGGACTTTCCCTGCATCTTCCCCCCCCCCCCCCATGCTCGCAGCTCATGCATGGCACTTCCCCGTGGGGAGGCTCTGTTCTTGGCACTCTATCGCTCTGCCACATACTCTGTTTTTTGTTTCTCCAGGAATTACACACGTGGCACTAATGATCAATGCTGTGTTTGCACAATAACCCTTAGCTTAGATCTACCAAGAGGCAATCACCCATCCCGTGTTTCATGGGCATTTGGGCTCTGTGTTTTAAGCCAATTAGCTTTATTGTTAAAAGTTGGCATCTTGCAGCAGGATGAGTGTTTGCTTACTGGACATTTAATAGACATTGCTGGATTGGTTTTCCAGTGCCCCCAAGTTTTCCATTTCCGTGTCAGAACCGGCTGTTGGCATCTTGGGCAGGGCCCTCAGGTATGCATGAAAACAGTTGTTGCACTTGGCCCTCTTTGGCTTTCCTCTGGCAGAAATGCCTACTCACATGTTTCAATCACTAATTTCTTGTCACTTTTTAGGAAATGTTAGTTTAATAGAAATAGTAACCTTTTGTTGTCCTAAACCTAATTATATTGTTTTATCATAGTGGTTTCTTGTATAGTGACATTTCCTTTGCTTTATAAAAAAGGTTTTCCCACACAAATGCAACTGTCACTTGACATTATTCCTCACATAAATGAATAAATGTTTGCATATACATATGTGTGTTTCTGTGTGTTAATTTTTTTTTTTAACACATCTAGCATTTAGACCAATGGAGAGATGGTCAAAGGCTATATGCAGTCTTGTTAAAGTGTAAAGTAAGACAGATCCATGAAATTTTTTGAAGAAAACAAATCTTGGGTTTGGCGGTGAGTTGAAATACACACAAAGCTTAACTCATGAGAGAAAAAGAACACTGAATTTCATCACAATTAAAAGCTTTTTCTCTGCGAAGGACTCACCAGAAGGAAAAGACAAATCACAGATTTCGAGCAAATATTTGCACATCACTTACTCTGTCAAGGACTTGTTCCCAGAATACATAAAGGATGCTTATAACTTGACAATATCAAGCGAACAATCCAATTTTAAAACAGATTACAAATAAGCACATGTGCTGATGACCAGCCAACATCTCCAGGTATCATGGAAATACAAATGCAAACCACAGTGAGTGTCCACTACACTCAAGGATGTGGCTAAAACCACACACACACACCAAGATCTGCCATCATGGAAGCAGAGCAGACGGTGCTCACGCATGGCTGGTGGGAGCAGGAAAGGACAGAGCCACCGTGGGAAACCGTTCAGCAGTGTCTTGTAACAGACCATGTGGCCTCGCAGGCCGTTTCCAGATATTTACCCCAGTGAATTGAGTATTTATGTTCACAAAACTTGCTCTTAAATGCGTGTAATAATTCCGCTCACAGTTGCTGAAAGCTAGAAACAAGATGTCCTTCAACAAATGAATGCATAAACAAACCGTGGGACAGTTGATCCATCCAGGCTATGGAATACCATGCTGCAATCAGAAGAAAGCAGCTGACGACTCATGCCATAACACAGTGGCTTTCACATGTGTTCTGCCAGGCAGGAAAGGCAGTCTGTTGCAAAAGCCAAACACTCTGCATAGGTTCAATTTCTTGGATATTCCACAAACAACCACCACTACCACAGAGACCATACAACAAATCGATGGCTACAGGCAGTGAGGGATGGGGGGGAGGGTACATAGGAGGATTAGGGCAGAGCATTTCTCTGTGTGTGATGTCCTGGGAATGGATCTGTGACCTGAGACACCTAGCCAAGCCCCCCAAACTATTTCATCAGGGGCATTTTCCAGTAGACAAATACAAAAAGCCGCCAGGATGCTGGTTGAACATTGGATAGAAAGCAACCCAGATCAGGTGGATTCTCCTTGAGTTACAACAGTGCATCCTGGCCCTGAACATGAGCACCCACACAAACAAGGTGATTCCAGACTGGAGGCAAAAATGACCATCTTAAGTACTGTTTTCTTGAACTGTGCTTCACAGGTGTGCTGTGTGTACAGGAGAGTTACAGTGGATAAACATATGAGGTGGTAGAAACGAGAGCTTGAGAACGAATCATGCTCAGAAACATCAGTAGAATAAACTCATTGTTTGCTTCATGGAGGAGATGGACGGGCACAGAATTGTAGACATGGCCTGTGTTCCACTGGAGTATAAATCCCATCATTCCTGGTTCTCTCTGTCCATGGAGAGGATTTACAAACAGTAACGCCCTTATACCAGTGAGCACACCTGGTCCCCAGATCATGTTTTCTACATAGTGTTCTGATAAAAGGAACCAGGCTCTTTAGATGAATGTACAATGGTAGGGCTAGCACAGGGCAATTACCAAATGACTCGGAAGTATAGTCCAGGGGAAAAGGAACACCTATGAAACATAGGATAGACATGTCAAAGGACACATGGACCAGTTCTATTGAACAAACCAAGGGACATGTGGAGCCAGGCACTAGTGACTGACACCTATAATCCTAGCTACTCAGGAGGTTGGGATCTGAGGATCATGGTTCAAATCCTGCCTGGTCAGGAAAGTCTGTGAGGCTTTCCAAGCTGGAAGTGGAGCTGTGGCTTGAGTGGTAGAACACTAATCTTGAGCAAAATAGCTCAGGCCCTGGGTTCAATCCCCAGATCAGATTCCCCGCCCAATAAGAAAAGAAGATGGACACCAATGCCTCACACCTATACTCTCAGGATGCCAGCCCTGGCAGGAAGGTTCGTGAGACTCCTACGGCCAACTAACCACCAAAAAGCTGGAGGTGGAGCTGTGGCTGAGATATCGACAGGGACCAGTGGCTAACAGTAGAAAAACAGTAACGGAAGGATTTGACTATCATTCAAACACCTATTCCTGAACCCAGGTTTATAAGTAATACCAATGAGGATGAAACATTCCTTCTAGAAGTCCAAATAACTGTAGAAAGAACGAGTAAAATAGAAATACACCTCAACAGTATTTGGGGCAGGAAATAATCCACAGAAGAAACTTGCAACAATGTCTCCTAACATTTTAAATTGCTGCAGCAGTTTTAATACTTGTTCAGATTCCTCGATTGTCCCCTATCGGGGACAGACCTGAACAAAGGCTGGACCAGTGGCTTGCTCAAAACGAATAGACCACAGAGAGGGAAGCAGTGGCTGTGGCTCCGTGGAGGAACCTGGCTGCCTCTCCTCCCTGTGGATGGAAGGCAGCATCCTCAGGGCGGACCACGTTAACTTGGTACAGCATCTCGCCACGCTGGTACTCTTTCCCAAACCCATCATTGCACTCAAATCCTGAGAAAATAGGAACAAAAGAAAGCGAAACAGACATGTGACCATCTCACCGTGTAAGGGTCATGACAAACCATTGCATGAGTGCAACTATGGGTCCATTCTGTGAGTATTGACATGTCCTGAACGGGAACTGAGAAAAAAGGTTTAAGTAGTTAAGACAGGCAGTGATAGATCAGAGGCAATCGATCCCCTGCTCATCAGTGCAACATGGTTATATCTCATAGGGACATTGGGAAAAGACACGTGGGGGCCCCACCACTGTTGCCACTCTCCTGCTAGGAAAACTCAGATGTATGGAAATGAAATGTGCAAAAGAATGCTTAGTAGCTGAAGATCCATAGGAACTGTAGGGGAAAGCCTAAAACTCCTGATACTGAAGACGACAAATGGAGAACAGTTTCCATTGCACTGATTAAATGACTCAATCCTAACATGATTCTCCTTAAATCTTAAGCCTACCAGATCTAAAACTACAAAACAAACAAACACCCTCAAGATTTGTGGTTGAACATCTTGGCAAACCTATTCTAAAGATTTTTTTTTAGCATATTCTTCAAGAACAGCAGTCAGTTGCCTCAGCAGACATCAATGTTTCTTCTGAAGCAGTGGTGGCTATCACACAAGGAGACACAAGCAGACTAGTGCGATGGGACTGAGCGTCGGGAAAGAGGACCACCATACGTGGAGTGAACTGGAGGTGGTCTTCGCATGGGGGAAAGAGTATGGACCTCCTTCCACCACCACCACCCACTGATGTCTCAACAACATGTTCATGAACAGCTGGAGATGCACAGGAGGAAGAAAGTACATCGGACCCTTCTCGGGAGACCTATTTGACAGGAATGGAAGCTGTCAAGGTTTTATTGCTGAACATAAAAGGGTATCTTAATGACTTCTAGATTGGCCTATTTCAAATTTAAATAAAAAACTAATCCCAAAAGGAGAAGCTAATTGACCACATTGGAACCAAGACCCAATCATCAAAATC